ACCAATGCAAAAAGGGGCTGGCAGACCCACTCAGGTGATATAGAGTGACTGCTTATCAAGCAGGCATTGAGTTCAAACCCCAATACTGTCCCCAAAAGGGGAGATTTTTAAAAAAAAATTTGGTAATATTCTACCTTTGAGAGAAAACTTAGAAAGTAGGATTATTAGCTTGATCAAAAGAGCAAAATGGTGAACACCAACTAACAGCAAGGCCTCATTAAGGAAATCTGTCAATATAAACCTCTCATATCAAACCACTAAGAATTACAGAATAAACTTTAACTTTTTAAGTTAGGATTAGATTTGGCTGTCTATAGAAGAAATTTAAAAACCAAAGTAGAAGTTTCTTTTTTGTCATATAAAACATTTCAGGGGAAGGAAGTCTAGGCTGGGGCAAACAGTTTTCTGGGTTACAAGGCATCTAGGTTTCCTCTCCGATCTCCTTTACCAGTCATAGGCTACTGCTTCCATCCTGGTGACCTCACAGTTTATCATCAGAGACTCGAATTGTATTCACCACATCTAAATTTTAGAACTAGGCAGGAAGGAGGTCAAATTGTGAGTGCCGATAGCCAAGCTATGTCTTCCAGTAGTCTGCAGTAGACTTCCCAGAAATCCTTGCAACACTTACTCTTATAAATCTTTGGCTCAAATATCATCATGTGGTTAGAACTGCTGCACAGAGGAGGGAATTGGATTCTCTTATACGGCACATTACTGTCAGGAGTAAAATCAGGATTTGTTTTATCCAGAAGAGGAGAAAGACTTGATGGAAATTCCCTTTGGTGTTTTTGTGGGAAATGATATCTAACCATCTAAAGTAATAAATGAGAGTTCTGCCAATTGTGTGTGCTTCCACAAGGATTGTTATGTGAGATAAGTGAAATGCATAGAAATCATAAAATGTGGGCTGGGAAGGTGGCTCAGTGGTAGAGTGCTTGCCTTGCATGCATGAGGAGGCCCTGGGTTCGATTCCTCAGCACCAAATAAACAAAAAGAAAAAAAGCCAGAAATGGCGCTGTGGCTCAAGTGGTAGAACGCTAGCTTTGAGCTGAAGAGCTGAGGGACAGCGCCCAGGCCCAGAGTTCAGGCCCCAAGACCGGACCCAAAAAAAAAAAAAAGAAATCATAAAATGTGATTTCATTTTTGTAATAAAAACTGGTGTATGTACATATATACACATATGATGTATGCAGAAAGATACACAATAACCTGTAAAGTGTTATCTGCATAATGGAAGAGAAAGCAAACAGCTTTTTATTCCAATTATTATCATGAGCATTATTTATGTAATCTGGAAAACAAAGAATATTTTATCAAACATGACACCTTTACATCTAACCTTTAATGGTACTTCTGACACATATAAACTTTCACTGTATGGCACTCCACCGTGGAGTTTCTCCTTGAGCACCTTAAAAATTAAATAGGACCTCAAAACAAAGAAGTTTACCTATCTTGTTCTAAAACATGTATTTATGTGGCTAAATTATTTATTTAGAGAGCATATTAGCTGCATAATTTAGGAAGAACACGTTATTCTTTTGGAGATAATGAATGTTAACAAATATTTATAAATATTTAAATATGAATATAAAACAGAATAACACCACATTAAGCATCTTAGATGAAGTATCTAATCTTTATGAAGTTAAACAAAGGTACACTTAACATGAAATGAAACAAAATAATCTTCATGTACTATGTCTAATGTTTACCTGTTTCATTCAATTTAGGCAATGAATCTTTCATGAAAAAATCCTATTTAGGCATTAGTCAGTCCTTTCAGAATAAATCATTTTCATGTAAACTTGGTTCCTCAAAATTTTATGAAGAAAAAAGATCTTCAAAGTATGCACAATATCATGTTGTAAATGTTATTGGACCCATACATAATAAAAAAACATGAAGAGCATGAAAAATAAAGTTAATCTTCTACGGATCTCAACCAGATGTGTATGTTCTACGTGGCATGGAGTTCAAGGAAAAAAATCTAAAAGCTGGTACTGCTAAGGCAGCGTTGCTCTTGTGCGGAGGCCACTTTTTTCAATTATTGCAGTTTTTAATATTGATATTACAATAATTTTTTAAAAGTTATTTAAAGTTATATTCAAATAGTTCATTCAATAATGACTATTATTTGGCTTTTGCTTAGGTTGTGGCCAAATATTGATTTGCCAGTACTTGGTCACTGGCATTTTGACAAAAGTATATTAAGTAGACCACTTAATGAAAATATCATACTGAATAGCAGTGGTGTCCTACTGCAAGAGGTCACTCCGGAACATTAATGAGCATAATAATGACCAGGGGAGATTTTAATAAATGTCACTTCCTCTCTGAATCTTGATGTACTGTCTCACTGTTATTTTTTTCATAAATAGATGCAAATTCTCAATAAAAAAATACCAGATGCTAAGGTTCTACAGTAAAATTAAAATTTGGGGGTAGAGGGGACCAGATATGTAGCTTTTATTAGAGTGTGTTGTTACAGTTGTTCTATTAGGTGTTAGTCCATTACTATGACTAACATAAAGTTTACCATAGGTCTGAATATATAAGGACAGTATATAGTATATATAAGATTTGGTAACATCTATATCCCAGGTATCTTTTCCACTAGGGGATCTTGGAACTTCAAATAAGTGTAGACTACTGTAGAGTCCTCTTCTTTAATGATTGTTTTGTTTGTTTTTGTCAGTCGTGGGTCTTGAACTCTGGGCCTGGGTGCTGTGCCTCAGCTCTTTAGCTCAAGGCTAGTGCTTTACTAACTGAGCCACAGTGTCACTTCCGATTTTCTGGTGGTTAATTGGAGATAAGAGTCTCACGGACTTTCCTGCCTGGGCTGGCTTTGAACGGAAATCCTCAGATCTCAGCTTCCTGAGTAGTTAGGATTACAGGCATGAGCCACTAGCACCCGGCTTTTAATGCTTGTTTTGAATCAGACACACGTATTTTAAATAATCACACCAAGAACTTTTCTGCATTTTCTGCAAATACTGGGATCATGTTTTATTTTTATTTTTTTATTATTTATTTATTTATTTATTTATTTATTTATTTTTGTCTGTCGTGGGGCTTGAACTCTGGGCCTGGGCGCTGTCCCTCAGCTCTTCAGCTCAAGGCGAGCACTCTACCACTTGAGCTACAGCGCCACTTCCAGTTTTCTGGTGGTTTATTGAAGATAGGAGTCTCACGGTCTCTTCTGCCCGGGCTGGCTTTGAACGGCGATCCTCAGATCTCAGCCTCCTGAGTAGCTAGGATTACAGGCGTGAGCCACCAGCACCTGGCGTGGGATCATGTTTTAATAAACACCATGCTAATAGAAAACTCTACTTAAAACTTAACAAGCACCATTATAAGCTGTTTTTGTAACAAGGTTGTAGATGTGCAAATTTGCAGTGTCATATGAAGAAAGATCGAATTGTAGTTTAATAAACTAAATAATAACAATGTAGACTATAACTCGAAGCTATAGTGCTGTGCCACTTTTTTTTTTTTTAAACAGAACATAGTTAAGGAACTGGTAGTTAAAATGAGGTAACAGATGTGAGCTTTTTTTAAAAAAAAGTTTTAATTAAAATCGGTGTGGTATCATTTCTCTGTGGTGGAAATACAACCAGTGTCAAGATTTTGAATACAGGAATAAAGAGAGAATTCAAGTTGGAAAATATGGAGCAATTAAATTCAAGGATGATGATTCCAACTCTTTAATATTTTTTCATGACTTCCAATTTTAAATTTATTTGCAGTTAAATGAAAGCAGCCATCTAAGCAACGTGCTGAAACACATTAAAAAAGATGTTAGTTCCCATTTCATAAACCTATAAATTGAAATAAAACCCCAAATGCAAACAATACATTTCAATCACATTGTAATTCATTTTTCTGTGAGAGTTTTCTTCAATCTTAGCCAAAATTAGATCTGGGACAGATTCCAGGCCAAGACAAAAATGTAAAATTCTATACTCGTCCCTCCTTCGGCTATTTTTCTCAAAGAGGATACTCTGCAGTCAAACAAACTCAAAATTCGGATTTATTCTCTTTATTAATTAAAATGACCAATTAAATCTTAAGCCATAAATCAGGTGTACATCTATATTCCTGTCATTAGCCCAGGACATAGTTTTCCCATGTCAGAAACTACAGACATTAAGGGGGGAAAAAAAAGAGTCCTTAAGTTAGGTACCAATGGTTCAAGCCTGTAATCCTAGCTACTCAGGAGGCCGAGATCTGAGGATCAAGGTCCAAAATCAGCCTAGACAGGAAAGTCCACGAGATTGCTATCCCTAATTAACCACCCCAAACACCAGAAGTGGAGCTGTGGTTCATGGACAGCACCTAGGCCCTGAGTTCAAGCCCCAGGACTGGAACCAGTTCCACGGACCGACTCAACCACCTAAGGTTAGCAGCAGAACCGGGCAGCGAGCTCCGATTCTGGGTCCGGACAAACGTCACCTCTGCGAGTTCTCTCCCAAGTCTCGAGTGGACACGAGGGTCTCAAGATGAGGGGCGGATCCTGTAAACTGACTTCTGGCTCGGGAGGGAGTCCGCCCTGGTGGGGAGCAGAGGCCGGCGACCCGAGGCCGCGGCCCCACAGACAAACCACAGCGCTCGAGAAACGAAAAGCAGCCAGGACAAACCTCCAAGATTGGGTCCTCTCCTTCTCTCTCTTGGGAATTACCACCATTAAAGGAAACAATATAGGAGAATGCCTGGGACAATTAAGGCTCCACATCACCGCGGACCGCTCTCACACGGCCGGCCTCTCAGAGACTGCTTCGTGCCGGGTGGCAGCGCGCGCAGTGTTTAAGTCAGACGCACGGCTGCGCATGCGCACCCCTGGCCGACTCGTTTCCCGCGCAGAAACAAAGCTCCGCCTCTGAGAGAGCCCGCCCCTAAAAGGGGCGTAGAGAGCCCAGCCAGTGCCGGGTCTGGGAACGACGTACCCCGGAGCCCAGGTCTGGGAAGTGGAGGCGTTTACTTCCGGGGCCCAGAGCTGTTCATTTCCGGAATAAGCCGTCGATGCCGGGCTCGCCGCCTCCTGGTTTGGTAGCGCCGGTCCAGATGAGTTGGCCATGAAGATCACCAGGCAGAAACACGCCAAGAAGCATCTTGGCTTCTTTCGCAACAATTTTGGAGTCCGCGAGCCGTACCAGATCCTGCTGGACGGCACTTTCTGTCAGGCGGCGCTGAGGGGCCGCATCCAGCTGCGGGAGCAGCTGCCCCGCTACCTGACGGGGGAGACGCAGCTGTGTACCACCAGGTGGGCCCGGGCCTGGGGTGCGGACGGGCGTGGTGGGCCCGGGCCTGGGGTTCCGACGGGCGTGGTGGAGCCCGGGCCCGGGGTGCGGACGGGCCAAGTGGAACGCGGGCCTGGGGTTCCGACGGGCGTGGTGGGCCCGGGCTTGGGGTTCCGACGGGCCCGGTGGAGCCCGGGCCTGGGGTTCTCGCGGGCACGCTTGCTCACATAGCCCCGCCTACGACGCGGAGCTGAGGGGGAGCTGGGGACGTCCTGCACACCTGTTCACTGTGGTCCTGTGACACCTTTGATCCCCAGATAAAGAAGTCACGATTGAAGACTTAAGAAATGTGCACATGTGTTCTCCATGTTGGCAACTGGCCACTAAGGATAAAACTTAGCAGGATAAAATCCCTGCCCAGGACACCTGTGAAGTGCCCCATCAGCCTAAAATGGGTGTGCCCTAATGTTTCCTCCACTTCATCTACTGGAAAGTACATGTAGGATGGAATAGCGCCAGGGATAAGAGGGAGGAGAGCTTGTAGAATGTTCCCCAGAGGAGGTATTATTTCATCCTGCTCATTTATTCAGTTGTACGGTGATATTTTGAAGATGTCTTGATCAAATGGAGGTGTAGAATGCCTGGGAAAGAGATTACACTACGAATTACAAAAATGAAAGCAAGGCGTAGGTAGAAGGAAGTGAAATCATGAATGACAAGAAATTTGGTGCCTTTTTTTTTCACTGTAGAGTAAGTATACTTATTCTTGCAAAACAAATTAAAATTACGAGTGGCATGCCACTACCATTACTAAAGAGTAGCCAGTTAACATGTACCAGTTAACATATACTCTTATTGCCCATCCATTTCTTTACACACATGCAGTTTGTGTTTTTTTTAGGTGTACGGTTAGAAATGACTAAGGAACTTTATTAAAATATTAATGCAGGAGGAGAACATGGAAGTGCGAAACAGTAATCCCAGCTACTTAAGAGGCAGAGATCTTATAAGGATTTTGTTTCAAGGTTAGGCCACAGCTAGCAAAGAGTTAGCAAGACCTTATCTTAATAAAGAAGCTGGACATAGTAGCTTGTGCTTGTCATCTCGGCTACATGAAGCTTAAGTAGAAAGATTGCAGTCTAGTTACACTTGGACAAAAACAAAACAAAACCCAGGAAACAAAAATAACAACAAACCAAGGGAGCCTCTACCTGAAAGATAACAAAAGTAAAATGCCTTGGAGAGAGGCTCAAGTGCTAGAACTCAGGCCTTGCATACAGCAAGCCTGAGTTCAAACTCCCAGTATTGCCACAAAAATAATAAAAGCTGTTCGTTCATGCCTATGCTTCATACTACTTGGAAGACTGAAGTAGGAGGTTTTCCATCTAAGGCTTGCCCCAGGGCAAAACCAGATACCCTATTTTAAAAACTCTCAAAGTAGGGCACTTACTAGCAGAAATGAGGCCTGAGTTCAGTCCCTAGGCGGGGAAAATGTTTTACTATACTTGTTTCTTTATATTTTTGAGTTTTGGCATCTATGAATTCAACCAATTGCAGATAGAAAACATTTGAGGAAAAATTGCATTCTTCTATACTAAACTTGTAGAGCCTTTTTGTTTTTTTTGCTGTCATTCCCCCCCAAATGTAGTAAAATAATGATTACATAACATTTACGTCTTGTGAGGTATTGAGAATCCAGAAATGGTTTAAAGTATGTAGGAAAAAGTTCATTTCATATCTAGCAGCCCTAGATTTGGTTATCAGTGGGAATCCTAGCGCATATCCTCCAACTTACTGGAGAGATGACCATATTTGGTCTACAATATAATATAGGAGTGTGAAAAGAGCTAGAAATTATTACCATTTAAAATCACATTGACAGTATGATCTTGGTAGTTTATATCCAAGTAAATTCTTATACATGAGACTGAGAAACATTGGATTATATACAAATGAAATGCAGATTAAAAATAAATTGTGATTGTGTTTAAACAATTTGACATGACAAGAATTTTTTTTTTCTTTTCTGAATTGAATATATAATGAATGAATACCAAATTGAATTTGAAATAGAAGCTTGTTACATGGTCTGGGCATGAAACCTGTTGTCAAATAAGTAATGTCTCAGTGATAGCATTTAATGCTTGAATTTGGTCATGTTTTGAAATCTCTCAGAATGAAGTGCTCTAAAATAATGGTATTTTTAAGATTAGTTGCCTAATTTAATGGGTTATTTTGAAGTTAAAGAAGAATGCATATAAGCAATTTGTATGCTGCCTGGCGCTCAGTAAATTTCTCTTAGTGCATACATTTTTCAAGTCTTTTAAAAGTATAATGGGAGGCTGGGAAGGTGGCTCAGTGGTAGAGTGCTTGCCTTGCATGCATGAGACCATGGGTTCGATTCCTCAGCACCATATAAGCAGAAAAAGCTGGAAGTGGTGCTGCGGCTCAAGTGGTAGGGTGCTAGTCTTAAGTTGAAGAGCTGAAGGACAATGCCCAGGCCCAAAGTTCAGATACCACAACCGACCAAAAAAAAAAAAAAAGATGGCTGTCATCAAATTCAAATTATAGTCCTGTACATTGAAAAATCTTGAGTATTTTATTTTACACTTGTGTTATGTAAATGAAAAATATGCTTGTGAATTGCTAATAGCATTTTTTTCCCCCAGGTGTGTGTTGAAGGAGTTAGAAACATTGGGAAAGGACTTATATGGGGCAAAACTCATTGCACAGAAATGCCAGGTTCGAAATTGTCCCCATTTCAAGAACTCAGTGACTGGATCAGATTGTCTGCTTTCCATGGTGGAGGAAGGGAATCCTCACCATTATTTTGTAGCAACCCAGGTAATGTTACTTTCAACACTACAAATCAGTATTTTCTGTGTATTGCTTCATGAGCTATTTATAATCAGAAAAAAGGGTAGGTAGAGTGATTTGTTAGTATTTTGATGTAAAAAATTGAGATCATTAAATTGCAGTCAATAAAAATCAGTTGTTACTTAAGAATTAAGGAAAGACCTGAGAACATAATTATTAGTGTTATTATTATTATTAGCTTATGCTTGATTTACAGGGGGGATTTAATTATTAGGAGGCCACACATGCTTACAGTATATTTCACTCTTGTCAGCTGCCTCTGCATTGGTTTATCCCCTTCCCAAAACACCTTCAGCAGGTTCCATTGTTATGTTTTCATAGTTGGAAATGATCAATTTCAGTTGTATTCAAATTCCTTCTTCTTCCTTGTTTGCCCAGTGTCTTCTAATTAGTACCTGCTTCTCTAACAATCTGTTTCTCTTTTTAAAAACGAGACATTTAGGGCTGGGATGTAGCTCAGTGGCAAAGCACTTGCTGGCGCTTTGTGCAACGTCCTGGGTTCGATCCCCAGTACCAAAATAGAAAAGACAAAAAAAATACAGTTAAAAAAAAAAGAGAGAGACATTTATCATTCAATGTGATTATTTGTTTTAGAGTTCTCAAGGGAAGATGAGTAAAGCAAAGATTTTCCTTTTTATATTCATACCTGTTTTTCACTTTTCAATAATACTGTTTCAAAAATTCAGGTTTCATGATCGTAAAGACTGTAGAACTGGTCTGGAACATTGCAAATTTTAAATGTTTGAGAGACAAAAGACTCTTGGAGATGATGTTAAGAAGTTCACATAAATGTAGGAGTCAGAGACTGAGAGCATGAGACCAGCCCAGGCTAAACGTTAGTGAGACCCCATCTCAACAAACAAGCTAAGTATAGGTGGTCAAGCTAAGTGTGTGTGTGGGGTCATGTCTAATCCAAACCAGGAGAACTATTTCCATCCAAGCCTAACTTAGGTGAAAATAAGAGACCATTGGTAAGTACTGATGGCTCACACCTATAATCCTGGTTGATTGGGAAGAATGTACACATTGATGTAAAATGCCTTTCAGATTAACAGCTGAGTGCAGTGCCATGTGCCTGTCAGCCTAGCTATGTGAGAGTTGAAATGGGGAGGACTGCATTTCCAGATCAGCCTGGGCAGAAAAGTCCACAAAATTGTATCACAGTGGAAGAAGCTGGGTGTGGTGGAGTGAACTTGTCATCCCAGCTACAACAGGAAGCCTAAAATTGACACTTAGAAGTCTAAGCATGTTTCGTAGGCAGGAAACAAAAATAACTGGTACAAAAGAGTCTGGAAGTGTGGCTCAACATTAGAGCACCTGCTTAGTAGGAGTAAGACCTGAATTCAAGCCCCATACTGAAAAAAAAGGAGTAGGGCTGGGAAGGTGGCTCAGTGGTAGAGTGCTTGCCTTGCATGCATGAGGCCCTGGGTTCGATTCCTCAGCACCACATAAGCAAAATGAAAAAAGCTGGAAGTGGTAGAGTGCTAGCCTTGAGCTGAAGAGCTGAGGGACAGCGCCCAGGCCCAGAGTTCAGGCCCCACGACTAGACCTAAAAAAAAGAAAAAAGAAAAAAAAGGAGTAAGACCCTGTGAAAAATAAGAGCAAAAAGGCTGAAGGTAGATCAAGTGGTAGAGTTCAAACTCTCAAGCCATCAAAAATTAAGTTTGTGTACAAACAAGATTTGCTCAGGTATACTCAAGGAAAATTGCACAGCAATTTTACGCTAAGGTTAAATTGCATCTCAACAAAGCTTAATCTAGAATTTGAGTCAGCTAATCCCTGCTTTCTATTTCTTCTGACTCTTCCTCTTTCTTCCTTCTTTCTGAAAAACAGAATAGAAACAAGGGAAACCTCACGCATTTGTGTTTGTATTAGTTTATAATTCATAGTACCAGAATGTAATAAGCCCCATTTGCACTGCTGATCTGAGAGAAAATCTGTGATCTTTTTTAATACTGCTCTCCTAAAGTTCTTAATTTAAGACATCCTAATTAATGTATTTGAGCCAGATTATCCCATTTTTTTTTCAATAGGATCAGAATTTATCTGTGAAGGTAAAGAAGCAGCCTGGAGTGCCTCTCATGTTTATTATTCAGAATACTATAGTCTTGGACAAACCTTCTCCCAAAACAATTGCCTTTGTAAAATCTGTCCAGTCAGGTCAGCTTGTCTCCGTGCATGACAAACAAAATATCAAGCAGCTCAAAGAGGAGCAAGGTTTAGTGAAAAATCCTGAACAGAGAAGAAGAAAAAAGCGCAAGAAAATAAGTGGCCCCAATCCTCTTAGCTGTTTGAAGAAAAAGAAAAAGGTCCAGGACTCAAAATCACCTGCTTCTGACAAGAAAAGGAAAAGGAAAAGGATCCGCAACAGATCTACCTCCAAAGTACTTTCTGAGAAGCAGAATGCAGAAGGACAATGAAATGACTGACTTAGATACATTTAAGACTTTCAGATGAGAAAAGTGAATTTAATTTTGGGACTGCAAAGAAGTATTTATGAGGAAAAATTATAAAGTTATTTTATAAACAATTATAGTCTATATGTTTTTGGTTAAAATTACTTCTAAAATAAAAATCATTTGCTTTAACGTGATAGAGTTGAATTTTTCTTGTATTTTGGAAGTTGTTTCTCAGTAAAATTGTCTTGTGCCACTCCCAAACATATATAGCTTTAAAAAATCAAACAGTTCTAGTCGATATAAGCCAATAAAAAGTAAATAAAACTAATATACTATCAAGAACAGAGGAAAAAAAACACAACAGTTATAAGCTGGGTTTGGTTGCTTCAGCCTTAATATTAGCTACTTGGGAGTCAGAGATCTGGAGAATCACTTTGAGCTCAGCCTTGACAAAAAGTATGCCTTTGTAAAGTCAACCAGGGATTTGGCATGATGGCTTGTGCTTGTCATCTTAGTTACATGAGTAGTATAAGTAGGACAGTCACAGTCTCTGCCAGCCTGATGAGCGTAAAGTGAGAACCTATAACCAATGCAGGTAGGGCTGGCATAACTCAAATGGTAGAGCAATCTGTGATTAAATGTATTATTGTACTATCTTGTTAGTTATTTTTTGTGCTGGTCCTGGGGCTTAAACTAAGGACCTGGGTACCGTTCCTGAGCTCTTTTGCTTAAAACGTGCAGTCTACCACTTGAGCCATAGCTCCACTTCCAGCTTTTTGCTGGTTAATTAGCAATAGTCTCATGAACTTCCTTGCTTGGGCTGATTTCCAACTGCCATCCTCAGATCTCAGTCTCCTGGGTAGCTACATTTGCGGACATGAGCCACAAACACTTAGCTCTATCTTGTTGTTTTTGAAGTTAATAACCTCATTTTCTTTTGGCAACTAACGTAAATTTTAGCCACATTTTCCAGTAACACTGTAAAGAGCCCCACTGTAATTTTCAATACAGTCATAGCTATCATATAATATCAGGTCATCCTACTACTAGATTTGTTCTGTTTTGTTTTGGTTGGTCATGAGGCCTGAACTTGGCCTGGGTGCTGTCCCTCAGCTCTTCAGCTCAAGGCTAGTGTTCTACCACTTGAGCCACAGAGCCACTTCTTGCTTTTTGTGCTTATGTGGTGCTGAGGAATCGAACCCAGGGCCTCATGCATGCAAGGCAAGCGCTCTACTGCTGAGCCACCTTCTCAGCCCTCCTACATGTTTTTGTGGATTCCTGTATCATCCAGTGTAAAAAAGATTTTCTGCTGAATGTGTTGCTTACCGTCTGTCAACTAGGTACTTGTCCTTATCCAGAGAACTTTATCAAATTAATTTCCTAGAATCTTCATTTTATTCTCTGTTATTTTCTTGCTGTAGCAGAGCATAGAATATCTAGGAAACACTTGTTGTTGGTCATGGAGCTTGAACTCTGAGCCTGGGTGGGTGCTGTCCCTGAGCTTTTCAGCTCGAGGCACTACCACTTCAAGCTCTACCACTTGAGCTACAGTGCCACGTCTGATTTTTCTGGTTAATTAGAGATAAGAGTCTCATGGCCTTTCTTGCCTGGGCTGGCTTTGAAATGTGATCCTCAGATCTCAGCCTTCTGAGTAGGGATTACAGGCATGAGCCACTGGTACCTGGCAGAACAGTGATTTTTAATGAGTTCCACTAGAGTGTCATGATTATATGTGAAGAAAATGATTCTTAGATGTGAGACAATTTAGACAACTATAGAAATGTCATTCTCAGTTGAATTCAGAGCTGTTTCTTGATTTCAAACTGGAATTACAGCTTAATACTTGAGAGTACACATAATGGTTTTATGTGGCAAACCATAAGGTAGTGTTTGAATGATAATATCATGTTCTCTTAGATTCTTGACACATTTTGGGGGGGGGAGGAATTCCGGTCGTGGGGCCTGAATTCTGGGCCTGGGCGCTGTCCCTCAGCTCTTCAGCTCAAGGCTAGTGCTCTACCACTTGAGCCACAGCACCACTTCTGGCTTTTTCTTTTTGCTTATGTGGTGCTGAGGAATCGAACCCAGGGCCTCAAGCATGCAAGGCAAGCGCTCTACCACTGAGGCAGCTTCCCAGCCCTGACAAATGTTTTTAAGAAGACAAAGATACTGGGTGGAAAGTGAATATCCTCACACAATTTCTGTGAGGAAAGATATTTGTCAGGAAGGTTAAGAGTTGGGGTTATCTGATCAAATGTCAAAGAGATAAAGCAAATGAAATGTACACTAATGACAGTTACTGAGTGTTTTCTGATTGCTTATTAATAGTGTCCATGAATTAGAATGGAGAGAAAACTAGTGTTTCTGCAGGAGTTAAAAACTATAAAGTGTATTTTTTTTTTCTGGTCGGTCATGGGGCTTGAACTCTGGGCTTGGGCACTGTCGCTGTGCTCTTCACCTCGAGGTGAGTACTCTACCAGTTGAGCCACAGCACCACTTCCGATTTTCTAGTACTTTACTGGAGATAAGAGTCTCACAAACTTTCCTGCCCAAGCTGGCTTTGAATCGTGATGCTCAGATCTCAGCCTCCAGAGTAGCTAGGATTACAGGCGTGAGCCACCGGCACCCAGGTTTAAAGTGTATTCTTATATTAAAAATATTTGTATCTTCCTCATAGAAACTTTAAAAGGTATTTTAGCAAAAGAATCTCATATCAGGATACATTCATTGGTGAATGGGACATGTATGAAAGCAATACTAAACGGTTCTCTTCACAGAATTTGGTGGAGGGAGTCAGCAGATTGGGCATAAGATCATAACTCATAAGTTTAGAGGAAATGTTGAAAACTTGATTTAGAGAATAACTAACTACTGGCTATTTTGTGTGTATACAGTTTTGAACTCTGAAAAGTTGCCATTCTGAAAAAAAAGGGGCTTTTTTGAAGACAACTTTCATGAACACTCATACTTCTTGTGAAAAGAAGTGCTCGCAGTTGTGTTCAAGCAGTATTCAGTATTTTCTACCTCTTTACAGCTCTGTAGCCATTTTCATCTCTCAAGCATGTAAATGAAAAGTAAAAGTCATTTCAGCTCAACTTTGGATCTGCAATTTCAAAGATGAAATGATTTCTCCCTATGCAAGACTTATGGGAACTTGAACTCAGGGCCTGGACTCTGTCTCTGAGCTTGCTTCTTTTGCTCAAGGCTAGCCCTCTATCACTTGAGCTACAACTACACCTCTGTTTTTGTTTTTGTAGTTTAGTACATATAAGAGTCTCACAGCTGGGCGCTGGTGGCTCACGCCTGTAATCCTAGCTACTCAGGAGGCTGAGATCTGAGGATCGCGGTTCAAAGCCAGCCCGGGCAGGAGAGACCGTGAGACTCCTATCTCCAATAAACCACCAGAAAAACCGGAAGTGGCGCTGTGGCTCAAGTGGTAGAGCACTAGCCTTGAGCTGAAGAGCTGAGGGACAGCGCCCAGGCCCAGAGTTCAGGCACCACGACTGGACCCCCCCCCCAAAAAAAAGATGCAATATAAACTTCAATTCAGCAACTAACTAATCTATGATATTTATCTTCCATACTCAGTTATATGTGGGTTTGGGAATGAAGGGATGGAAGAAGGAGCAATTTCTTTTACTATGGCATTTTACAACTCTCTTAGAGAATTTTTGCTTTCTTCTCTCAAGACCTTGAGCTCTGCTGATTTGAGGAATTTGTTCCCAAAGGAGGAATATGTCGACCAAGAATACAACAATAATTCCGTTGATTTGGGAAGTGATATTACCTGTAGTTTGTTTGGGGTTGATTATACTTCTGAACCAATAGCCAAAGAAGGGAGTTATTGTACTGACAATGATTGATTCCTTTTTCCAGGAGAAAACTGGCTTGCTCCTACAGGATTACCTACAAAAGACTACTTCTGGAATCTAAGAGAGTCTCTAAGATGTCTAGAGTGTGTCTTTTTCTTTTTTCTCCTAGTTCCAAAAGCTTTATTGGTAAATATGCTTTGAAAAGATCCATGGTATCATTCTGTCAGTGAAATGACGAGCTGGGTTTAGGGACTTGGCTGTTGCTAAAGGTGACCAGTGTCACCTGCAGTGTCCACTTCCATTCATAGATCCAGTCATGTGAGCAAGACTTCTAATCAACCAGTCCTTCAGGCTTAAACCATAAGCTGATTTAGCTTCTCAGCACCTTTTACTGAGTCACAGCCATGAATGATGTTTCTGCCCACTTGCATGCAGAAGTCCCCTCCAATGGTGGTGCCTGGCTTAGAATCTGCTGGACTGGTTTCTCCAAGCATCACCTGTTCATTCACCCCCTCCTAGACAATGGTTATCATGGGCCCAGGGTTCATATATTTCACCAGCCCTGGGAAGAAAGGAGGTCTTTCAGGTCAGTGTAATGCTGCTTCAGGTGTTGCTCAGAGGCCTGCAGGAGCCTCATGGTCACCAGGCAGAATCCCTTCTGCTCGTAGAACCTGGTGCTGTCACCCAACAGGCCATGCTGCACGCCTGTCGGGCCTGAGGATGGTGATGATGATGGTACAGTCCAGGTTAGCGATGGCTCTGCAGGGCCAGAGCTGTGTTCCGGGCGGCTGGCTGGGGTAGGGAATCCTGGATCCAGCCTAGTGTGTCTATGCCCCATGGAAAATGTTAATAGAAAACTAAAGGAGGAAGAACTAGTGGGTATTCACCGCCTTTCTGGAGTGAAGGCTTGTTTTACCTCACCAATTAAAAAATAAATGAGGTTAGGGCTAAGGTCAAAGGAGACACGGAATGGGTCATTACAGCTGTCAGCCATCTAGATGGCACCCAAAGATTTTTGCGTTTTCATGTTCATAAGGTTGTGTATCTACTCTGTTACTAAACAGACAGACCTCTTTCATAAATATTCTATTAATTTGGAAATTGGTGGTGTGTAACTTCTGATATGGACTGTAAAATGTGTCAGCTTCTGTTATCCAGAGAAGAAAGAAATCAGGCAAAAATCACATGGAAGCATTGTTATCTTTAAAAAAAATTAGGAAAAATGGTTTCAATCTTTACCATCCCTCCAAAGCCTTGCTAGTTATGGAGGTCAAAACACAAGCCACAGAATGAATGAAAATATATATGACAAGAGACTCGTCTCTAGAAAA